TGTGGTATATTAATACAATAGGACATTATTTAGCCTTAAAAAGAAATAAAATTTTGATATATGCTACAACATACTTAAACCCTGGGAACATTACACTAAGTGAAATAAACCAACCACAAAAGGACATATATTGTATGATCCCACTTATGAGGTATCTAGAATACTCAAATTCATACATAGTAAGTAGAATGTAGTTACCAGGGACTGGAGGAAGTGGGGTACAGGGAGTTACTGTTTAATGAGTTTGTTTTGTAAGATGAACAGCATTTTGAGAATGGGTGATGGTGATGTTTGTACAGCAATATGTACAGTTAATGCCACTGACTATATAATTAAGAATGTTAAGGGCAAGCATTTGGCACAGTGGTAAAGATGCTGCTTGCAGTGCCTATGTTCAAGTCCAAAATCCATTTCTGATCCCAGCTTCCTGCTAATGTGCAGCCTACAAGACAGAAAGATGGCTCAAGTACTTGGGTCCCTGCTCCTCATGTGGAAGACCCAGACTAAGTTCCAGGCTTCTGGAATGGTAATTGGCATTCAACAAGCTAGCCAGTGGACGAAAGAAAAATCTTTGTTTCTCTTCTATCTTCCCAAAAAAGGAAAGAAAAGAAATATCAAAATGGTTACTATAGAAAATTTTGCTATATGTATTTAACCACAATTCATTTTCTTAATTGGGAGAGGTTTTTTTCAGGGGGAAGGGGTTCTTTTAGAGTTCAATTTTGAATATAATTGTTTTGTAAAAAGCTCACTAAGCTATAATGCTCCCAACCTATCCCACTAAGTCTGAGCTACAATCTTCTATCCACTACTTACTACCACTTCTCCAATGATTTTAACAGAAGTCCTTCTATATTGCTTTTTAAGATTTATTTATTTGAAGTCAGAGTTACAGAGAGAGGGAGAGACAGAGAGAAAAAAATCTTCCATCTGCTGGTTCACTCCCCAGATGACAACAGCCAGGGGTAGGCTAGGTCAAAGCCAGGAGCTTCATCCAGGTTTCCCACAGGGGCTTGAGTCATTTTCCACCACTTTTCCCAGACTATTAGCAGGGAGCTACATCAAAAGCGGAGTAGCCGGGACACAAACCGGCACCCATATGAGATATCAGCATTGCAGGCAGTGCTTTAATCACTATGCCACAAGGCCAGCTCCCACAAGTCCTTTTTCTCATCAGCTGAAATTGTCAAAAAAAAATCCTTCACAAATTCTTTTTCATATTTAGACATTACATTTACTGCAACCAATTATCCAGCAATGATAAAAATCTGACACTTATTTTTAATCAAATCAAACTACTAACACAGCACTGATCTCTCAAGCTATAATTGATAATTATATTACATAGAATATAATTTTACTAATTTCACTTATGGGTGGGGAAATTTATTTGTCCTGTTATAGAAGAAGCCAATGTCATTCAATATCCATATGCCAAATTTTGAATTGTAATTTCTAAATAAAGTAGCTGGCTTTTTTATAACTGGACAAATGCTTACTTTTAAAAGTTAATCCTCTAGTAATGTATTAGAGGGAAATGGACATTTTGAGAATGGATGATTGTTTATATCACTTGTTTCTTCCCTTGAGAAACAATCTTTAGTTTTGTTTTATTTAGGTTTGTTTTCTCTACATATTATTTGCTGAACTCCTTTACTTACAGTAGGGTTAACTATATGATCACTAAGTAAACTGATAACAAATCACTATAAAAATTGAGAGTGAGAAGCTGGGGAAGGGGAGGCAGGAAGGAGGGAAAGTCCCACTTTGTTCCTAAATCTGTATATATAAAATAAATAAAACTTGCATAACTTAAATAAAACTTTAAAAAGTTAATCCTATAAAAAATATAAGAAACAGGGAGAATAATCCACTGTAAACTAAGACTAGGAAGAGTAAACTGATATGGTATCATCATTAATAAGAGAATTACAGGCTCTTTTTTTCCTTAAGACTTACTTTATTTATTTGAAAGGCAGAGTTAGAGAGAGAGAGAGAGAGAGAGAGAGAGAGAGAGAAACTGAAAAAGATCTTTCATGTACTAGGTTCACTCCCCAAATGGCCAGAACAGCCAGGGCTGGGCCAGGACAAGGCCAGGAGCCAAGAACTCCATCAGGGTCTCCCATGTAAGTGGCAGGGGCCTAAGCACTCAGCCATCTTCTGATGTTTTCCCAGGCACATGAGCAGGGAGCTGCAACAGAAGTGGAGCAGCTGGGACAGAAACCAGTGGCCAAATGGGATGACAGTGTCATAGGCTTTACCCCTTGCACCACAATGCCAGCCCCAGAATTATAGATACTAGAATACACAAAAGGTTAATGTGCTTAACATGTGTATTTTTAAAGATTTATTTATTTATTCGAAAGGCAGAGTTAGAGAGAGGCAGAGGCAGAAATAGAGAGAGATCTGCCATCTGCTGGTCCACTCCCCAGATGGCAGCAATGGCCAGAACTGTACCAATCCAGAGCCAGGAGCTAGGAGCCTCCTCCGGATCTCCCACATGGGTGCAGGTGCCAAAGGACCTGGGCCATCCTCCACTGCTCTCCCAGGCCAGAGCAGAGAGCTGGGTCAGAAGAGGAGCAGCCGAGATTCAAACCTGCACCCATATGGGATACCAGCTCTGCAGACAGGGGCCCTACCCACTACACCATGGCACCGGCCCCATGTGGGCCCCATGTTTATAGTTTTATAAATAAATTTTATTCATTTATAAAATAAATATATAAATATAAGTATATAAATATATATTTATAAATTATATATTTATAGAGTATATTTATAAATTTATTTATATATAAATAAACATAAAATAAATATATAAATTTTAATCCACCAATAATATTTTCTTACCTATTTGACAATATAAAATTAACCTCAATATGTGGCAAACTGTTCACTGCATGACATTAGCTATTTTTCCACATATGAACAACTGTACCCAGCAGTGTCACTGATCTGAAAAGAAAAACTTACTAGGATTTGTTATGATCAAAATAATCAGTTTGCGAGGCAGGTGATTGGTTTAGACATTATTTGGGATGCCCTGCTTCCTATCAGAGTACCTGGGTACAAGTCCTGGCTCTGCTTTCAATCCAGCTTCCTGTTCCTTGGGAGACAACAGGTAATAGCTAAAGTATTTGGGTCCCTGCCATACACATGGGAAACTCTTACTGAACTCCTGGTTCCCGGCTGCGGCCTGGTCCAGCCCTGGCTAATGGGGGCGTTTGGGGAAGTGAACCAGCATATGGAAGTTACCTTTCTCTCTCTCTCTGCCTTTCAAATAAATAAGTAAAAATTCTTTAAAAAAAATAATCATTTTCATTTCCAAACCAAAATCCCTGTTGTTTTTTTCAGAAAACTTTACTTTGCCAGTAAGTACAAGAATCCTAAATTTACTGTCCTGTGGCTAATACAGGGTTAACAGTAAGCATAATAATTGTGCCAAATACTATGAGAGAAAGCAGCTACAAGTTATTGAAGGTAAAAAAATTTGGTGACACCAAAACAAAGTTACAATTACCTTAAACCTTTCACTGAGATAAAATATTCTTTTTCTTGTTGTCCAAAGCCTTCTCCATCAGAACACAACAATTTTAGAACAGAAAAAAATACAGTCCTATTTCACAACAAAAAGACTGAACTGGAGAACGAAAAACAAAAACGAAACGATTTAGGAAGACAAAAACCTCAGGACAATCCTAAACCTACAAAACACCTAATTTTGTGACCAAGTTTTATTTTAAGAATCCTCCTGAGTTTGGAAGTTACAGTACAACCAATATGTACATATGTGCATATTCCTAATATATGAGATACCACTGGATAACCAAAGGAGCAAACTCTGAAAATAGTCATCAGAACATTAAAATGTAAAAAGTAAAGGACTTTTAAAAGGGGGTAAAGGTGTATGGCAGCAAAAATCTCAGTAAGGAAAACCCACTCTGCTAGTGTTAGACCACAGACCTCGTGCAAAGACAGTGTTAAAGAAGTAAGAGACTGCCTGTACTTGACAGTAGCTTCTAAGTTAATGCCAAAATGGTTTAAAATATCTCACCAAAATATCTTCTTGGCCAAACACCAAAATGCAAAAGTAGGGTTCATAGGGTATTAGTTCTAACTCTGAGTCTTATGACGAATACAGCTCTATTTTCAAAGGGCCTCCCTAAAATACTTGGATGCCAGTGTCACTGTAGCTGGGTTCAGCAAATCAATAACCTTTACTTATCCTTTAAGTTCCTTAAGAAACTACACCAAGCAAGCAACTCAAGTGTGTAGAGGGGAATCCGCAAATCTTAACCGGTAGTTTATTAAGCTTGCGAATTCACAGCAGACACACTCTGGAATATACAGTCTATCTGCCTCTTCCTTAACTTCTTATTACCCACCAAAGATTCCAATAAGGCATGCAAGTCTCAAATGTTTATTCCTCTTTGAAGAGGACCACAATGCCCTGCCTACCCTCACCACTCCCCATCATTCTATTCTTTTACTCATTTAATACAATACACCACGCCCATAACACCACACGCTCCACACACATTACCCACACACACACTCCATACTCTCCTCACGGAACAACGAACTGAAAACACCCCATATTTAATGGCTCCACATTTAATAGCCCCAAAGTCTACACCTTCCCCATATAATGCAGAAAACACTCCACACATCCAGTTACCCAAAAATCGTAACACTCCCCTCACCTCAAAAATCCCATTCAACCTGTACTGAACAAATTTCACCACAACACAGCCTAAGAATTATATGCTTCCCTACGGCTCACAACACAACACAACACAACACAACACACACACACACACACACACACACACACACACACACACACACACACACACACACACACACACCAAGCCACAGGCGTATAAAAGCCGAGCCACAACACCGCAGCGTTCAAACAAACGCTCGGAAGAGGCCTCCCTTCTGGCACCAGGAACCCACGAGGCTGGAGGTGGAAGGAGAACACACGGAAGATACTTCACCTGAAAATCCGCCAGGATCATCTCCCGGTCCATGTTGGACGCCATGGCGGCCGCCGAGTTCCGCCGCTCCTGGAACGAGGCGCGCACCTGGGAGGAAGACGGCGCCTCCTGCGGCCGTCGCCGCCGCCGCCGCCGCCGCCGGGCGCCGAGGGGCTGGCGGGCGAGCCGGCGGGAGGGCCGGCGGGCCGGCGGGCGGGGCAGCTCGGGAGGCGCTAGGTACTCATGCACTCGGTAACCTTCAGGCGCCCCGGCCGCCCGCCCGCGCCCCGCACAGCCTGTGCCGCAGCCGCCCCGACAGGGAGGTTGGTCTGGATGCGAGACTGGTCTTACTGTCGCCGGCCAGGATGTAAGCTGGTTGCGACAGCGCGCACCCGGCTCCTTTCAACCGCGGCGAGACCGGCGGGGGCGGGGAAACCGAGAGAACGAGCAGGCGGGCGGACGCCACGGCCGCCTCCGCCTCCTCCGCTTCCTCCCTGGCCGCCGCCTCCGCCCCTGGTTGGCTAGCACCAGGGCTGTCGCACATTTTGCCTGTCATCGAGGTCGCAAAGCACCGCTTTGCGGCTGTCACGTGACTGCCCTCCTGTCAAGCGCCGGGCGCGCGACGAAGCGGGCGGGGATCAGTGCAGATGCCAACCTGTAACTGCGGGAGTTGGAGACCCGCAACAGGTTATTCCAGTTTGGATTTCAGCAGAAGGTCTGAGAGTACCGCCTCCCCCTGGCTGGGGCGGGAATCGGATTCTGCGACGCTCGTGGTTAGTCAACACACAGACATCCAGCTTCAAACCAGCTCAATACACTTTCATAATCGAACAAACAGCATTTAAGAAATGTACCTTTTCTCTAACAGTTTCCCCAAAACACAGTCTCATATGCAGTCTCTATGCTCTCATTGTTAAAACCTGCGTACATACAGCCACACCCAACCCCAGGCCCCTGATGCCTGCATCCTTAGCCTTAACAGCACGCCTGTGGGAGACGTGGAAGCTGAGGAAGGTGAGAATCTCTGCTCCAAGAAGAGCATTTTTTTAAACATACATTATTTATTTATTTATTTATTTTTATTTGAAAGGCAAAGGGACAGAGAGAAAGAATGTTCTATCTGCTGGCTTACTCTTCAAAAGGCCGTAATAGCCAGGTCTGGACCAGGCCAAAGCCAGGATCCAGGAACTCCCTCGGATCTCCCATGTGAGTGACAGGTGCCCAAGCACTTGGGCCATCTTTCACTGCCTTCCTAGGTACATTAAGATTGAGCATTTTAAATTGGTAGTTATCAGAAATAAAAACCTTTGTTTGCTGCAGTGGTAACATCAATTTTTTTAGAGTTGAGACATCTTTCAAATGGGAAAACTTGAGTCCAACTTTGTATATCGAACTATTAAAAGCCGGCGCCGCGACTTGATTGGCTAATCCTCCGCCTGCGGCACCGGTACCCCGGAGTTCTAGTCCCGGTTGGGGCGCCAGATTCTGTCTCAGTTGCTCCTCTTCCAGTCCAGCTCTCTGCTGTGGCCCAGGAGGGCAGTGAAGGATGGCCCAGGTGCTTGGGCCCTGCGCCCACATGGGCAACCAGGGGTTGGGGGGTGGGCCGCACACCTGGCTCTTGGCTCCTGGCTCCTGGCTCCTGGCTCCTGGCTTCGGATCAGCGCGGTGTGGCAGCCATTTGGGGGGTGTACCAGAAGAGGGAAGACCTTTCTCTCTGTCTCTCTCACTCTCTAACTCTGCCTGTCAAAAAAAAAAAAATTATACATGGTAGAGGGGCCGATGTTGTGGCATAACAGGTAAAGCCACTACCTGCAATGCCAGCATCCCATATGGTCACAGTTTGTGTCCTGGCTGCTCCACTTCAGATCCAGCACCCTACTAATGCACCTCAGTAAGTACCGGAGGATGGTCCAAATCCTTAGGCCCCTATACCCGCATGGGAGGTCCAGAAGAAGCTCCTGGCTCTAGCTTTGGCCTGGTCCTGCCCCGGTTGTTGTGCCCATTTGGGAAGTGAACCAGTGGATGGAAGAGTTTCTCTCTCTCTCTCTCTCTCTCTCTCTCTCTCTCTGTAACTCTTCCAAGTAAATAAATAATTTTTTTTAAAAAATCATTGATCATATACAGTAACATGTGATCACTTGCAATTGTCATACAGGCTAGAGGGAGGTAACAGTAGAATATGCTCAACCTTGACTTGGAAAAATATCAGCTTCTAGTTTGTAATTCGGGGCATTTACTTGTTTTGGAAAGGATATAAAAGCCTGAGAATGTTAAGTAAGATTGCTGATTTTAGGCTATAGAGCTAAAATAGAAACTAGTGAAATCATCATATAGAATCAAGGCCAAGGTTTCTTAAACTGGGTATGTATTCATGAAAAGTCTGAGTTAAGTGTTCATTTTTCCCTGAACATAAAGAAATATACTATGTTGTTTTAATGTCTAGGTTTATTTTATTGTCTTTATTCTCCCTTTCTATAAATGCACTGGTCAATAGGTTCCTGGTCATTGTTTGCTCATTTATTTTTGAGAGGCAGAGACAGAGCTTTATCCATTGGTTCACTTCCCAAATGCCCACAATGGCCAGTGCTGGGCCTGGCCAAAGCCAGAAGCTGAGAACCAAAATTAGGTCTCCCATTGAGTGGCAGGGACCTAACTACTTGAGCCATCACCTGCTGTCTCCCAGGGTGCACATTATCAGGAAGCTGGAATCAGGAGTAGAACCAGAACTCAAACCCAGGCACTCTTATTATGGGATTGCAGTTATTCCAGGCAGTGTCTTAAGGCTAAACCAAATACCTGCCCTTCTGTGTATTTTTTAAGTGAAATTAGTCCCGCCTACAATTCTTATGTGATAATCTGTGTCTAGATCAGAATTAAGTAAATGAGGAATAAAGGCTTCCATAGTCAACTACATGAATTGATCTGCCATCCCAAAGGAAAAATTCCAAAATTGGGCATAAATATAAATCATGAGAAGAAACAATGCCAACAATGTAAAAGTGGCAGTTCACTTGCCCCATTCATATAAATCACCCTCAGTACAAAGCAGTTGAATAACTTTCTGGTTACATGGCCAAAATAAATACAGCCCTGAAAAGTTGAGGCCAACCCTTTGCTTGACATGTGTGCACCTCAGAAATCATTCCAATCCTGTGGCACTCCCTTTTTCCCTCCCTCCTCTCCATCTGGAAATTCAAACAATATAGTGACATATAAAGATGGGAAGAATGCATTTAAGCAGATAAGTTTTAGTACTGCCATAGGAACATTTTTAACAGATTATTTATTTATTTATTTATTTACTTATTTATTTGAAAGGCAGCATTACAGAGAGGCAGAGGCAGAGAGGGAGAGAGAGGTATTCCATCTGCTGGTTTATTCCCCAGATGGCTGCAACAGCCAGAGCTGTCTGGACCGATCAGAAGCGAGGAGCCTGGAGCTTCTTCTGGGTCTCCAAATGGGGTATAGGAGCCCAAGCACTTGAGCCATCTTCTACTGCTTTCCCAAGCCATAGCAGAGAGCTGGATGAGAAGTGGAGTTGGAACTTGAACTGGCATCCATATGGGAAAATGGCCCTGCGGGCAGCAGCTTTACCCACTTTACCACAATGCAGGACCCTTCTATGGAAGTAAGTCCGTCTGGCTTCAGCTTCTTTCAGGATTACTTCATGCGATAACTGAGAAAACAATCATGAAACTGCACAAAAAGCATAAAATTTCATAAAATAAAAGAGATAACAGGGTAAGTGGAAAGTACTGGTTTTTTTTTTCAGATTTTAATTTTATTTATTTGATTGACAGAAGGGAGAGGAGGAAAGGAGAAGAGGAGAGGGGAAGAGAGAGATGGAGGGTGAGGGGAAAAGGGAGAGAGAAGTAGAGGGAGAGGAAATCTTCCATCTACTGGTTCACTCCCTGAATGGCTGCACAGCCAGGGCTTGGCCAACCTGAAGCTATTTCATAAAAGCATAGATTTCATAGTCAGCATTCCTGCATTTGACTTGACTCTACCCCTTGATAAAAGCTCTCTGAGTTTGTTTTAGCTTTTTTTTTCCCCTAGAGGTTTTGTTTTGTTTTGCCCCTAGAATGGAGCTTAAAAAAATCTCACCTAATGATTTTCAATGTTGAGTGAACAATGCTTGTGAAAACTCATAAACTTTAAAATCCAAACATATTAGTGATTATTTCTCTGTATACCAATTACTAACTGCTTTTCTCAGGGCCACTCCTTTCATAAAGCTTAAGCCATCCAGAAGTTTTCTACTTTCAGAGCCGGAATTGTGGTACCTCAGATTGAGCTGCTGCCTGCAATGCTAGCATCCCATATTTCCGAAACCAGCTCCCTGCTAATTCACCTTGGAAAGCAGTGGAAAATGGCCCAAGCGCTTGGGCCCTTGAACCCACGTGAAAGACCCTGATGGAATTCCGGACTCCTGGCTTTGGCCTGGCCAGGGTTAGCCCAACCTTGGCCATTGCAGCCACTTGGGGAGTGAACCAGTGTATAGAAGATCAATTTTCTCTCTCTTTCTCTCTCTCTTTCCCTCTCTCTTTCTCCCTCTCCCTCTCTCCCTCTCTCTCCCCCCTTCTTCCTCCTCCCCTCTGTCACTCTGCCTTTCAAATAGATAAATCTTCTATTAAAAATAATTTTTCTACTTTCTATTAACGGATTTTACTATCTTTCCAACATAATTTAGTGCTACAACAAGTTCTGTTAACTTTTATCTCTGATTGTTTCATCTGTGTAGATTTTATCTCTCCCCAAAGGATGAAAGTTCCTTGAGAGTATAAATGATTCCATCTCATGTGGGTTTGTTTCTAAAGATTTATTTATTTATTTTGAAAGTCAGAGTTACAGAGAAAGAAGGAAAGAGAGAATTTCATCCACTGATTCACTCCCCAGATGGCCACAACAGCCAGCACTGGGCCAGTCTAAAACCAGGAGCCAGGAGCTTTATCCAGGTCTCCCACATGTGTGGTAGGGGCCCAAACACTTGGGCCATCTTCCACAGCTCTTCCCAGGCCAGCTGGATTAGACGTGAAGCAGCCTGGACAAGAACTAATACACATATGTGATGCCGGTGTTGCAGGTGGCAGCTTTACAGGCTGTGCCACAATGCTGGCCCCCATCTCGTGTGTGTTTTTTTATATTCACAATAATCCATACATAG